CTCAGATCCTTACCACTCATATCTGACTTATGGAAATAAATGCACTGCCTCAAGCACAGTCTAGCACTCATAAAGGAAAACCCCATACAAAATCCTTCCACATGCCCATCATTATTAGCCGTAAGACATCTTCCTGTTACACATTTAAGATTCAGAGAAAATGGGAAATGTATAATATTAAAACTATGATGCATAGAAAGAAAAAAATAAAGCTTTACCAAATACAATGACACTGCATCCAGTGAGTTTTGACAGAAATAGTTATATAGCTGCAAAACTAAAGAAGAAAAAAAAAACCAACAAGCCAGTTTTGATTAGTTTCATACCTTTCAACAAAACTCTGCTGAGATGTAGGCTTATGTGAGCCTAAAAGATGACCTATAGGCACATATGCAGGTAAGGCTTGTAACACAAAAGGAATAAATGCCTGGGCTGTTGGGCAATCCAGATTTCACCTACACATTAAGAAAAACTAAACTGTCAATTACCTCTTAGGTGTGAGAGAGACTAACTTGCAACCCCTTAAATATCTGTTCTTGGAAACAGTCAGCGTACCTAGAACCTTTGACTGCATAACAAAAAAAAAAACAAACTTAGCCTTCCACAGTTAGCTATGCAGAGATGAGAGGGCTTTCACACAGGAGACCAAGGCATACCACTATAGATACCCACAAGCAAGTTATGCATTTTTTTCCCCCGCCCCATACCTTCCCTTCCACACACTCCCCCGAAATGGAAAAAAAAAATTGTGATAAAACATTAGTGACCCTTGACCTAAATTGGACTGTCAGTGCAGTTTCTAACAGCAGTGTAACACAGCATTTCAGGAAGAAACAAACTTTTCTAAGCTTTGTTTCACTTAGCATTTTTGTAGTTAAAGCAGCATCTCACTTAGAAGAACCTGGTATACAAACACCAATAAATGAAGACAATACGAAAGCCAACAAACTTAAGAGCAAATACCTCAATTATAATGTATATTTACCATATTTTTCATCTCTACCTTGAATAGTTTAACATTGACAATTTGCAGATTTGCTATCTTTGTTATTAAACAAGTGCACAACACTGCACAAACAATCTAGAACAATCTACAACTTCTACTTTGACACTGAACGACTGCTTTTTAATACTTGAGTTACAGTTTGCTGTTGAGCATTACAGGTATCAGCTTTGCCCAATACAGTTCATTTAGCTTTAAATGCAATTTTTGCAAACATGGCTTATAAGTTTTTTTGATACCTGATATACTTTGAAAGCAAACATAAGTCACTTTTGAAAGTGCAGTGTACACCTTCAATTATGTCACAACTTTGAAATAAATTCCTACCTGGTAGGATGACAAAGCAATAAAGCTCAAGTAGTAACACTAATTTATAAATAATGTATGGCTGGCCAGTTGTTGAACCCAAGGAAAGGCCTACTTTTCTCAGTTTGTGGAAAACATGTATTCTGAAGGTTAAACGTGTCAAATCAGTCTCCACAGACAAATAAATATTTAAGCTTCACAAACACATTAAGCATCTGCAGGATCAAAGTTTTGTTTATCAGGTACTAAGTAAATTAAATCAAGCAAGCGGAACTGGGATTTCACCCTCTGAGCTCAACTAAGAGCCTCAAAGCAGAATTTCTCACCTCATTGTAACTTCCTAGCATTGCTTTTACACTAGCTTGCAGCAACTTGAAAAACTAAGCAAGTGCAAGAAAACACTAAGCTTCTTGTATGGCATAAGTCTGCCTGTACCCAGCATAATTCTGACATTTAACACAGAGCCCTTCTACATTATCACAGAATAAATTCAACAGGTATATGTTGAATTTGAAAAAATAATCTTGATAATCACATTTAAATACATTATTTAGTAAACTTTTTTTCAGAAAGTTATTAATTTGACAGTTGAAGAAAGAACTAGCAAATCCCTTCTTCAAATAACAGAGCAGCCTTTGCACTTCCCTGTGAAGCAGAGTCATTATAAGGACTACAAATACACAAGACATCTTACTTTATTCTAACCAAACACACCACTATGGAGCAAAGCAAATGTTTCAAGCACACAAGAAGCATGTTTCATGAGCTACTGAAGAGGAACACCACTACTCCCATGCAGTACCACAGGCTGCTTTTCATAAAGAGCAGGTGGTGCCACACTCTCACTACAGCATCCTCAAGTCAAGACATCCTGCAGCACACTGCAACACTGACCTGCAGGAATGCTCTGTATACCAAAGCTGAGGAGTTTCATGCTAACATGATTCCTCATGACTTTCTGGCATTCTTACACAGTTATAACAGAATTCAGTTTGAAATAACTGATTTGTCAAGCAACTGATACTTTAGCAGCAGAAATGCAGCTGCTGCTAAAAATCATTCCCTCTATAAAAGGCTGTCCAAAACCAGCATTCCCTTCCTTCCTTCCCTCCCCTGCCCTTCCCACCTCCTCCTTTATGTGAAAGAATACTTCAATTTCCAGTGTATCGATTCACCTTTAAAGATCTGTGAAGCCTCTAAAAAAATCCACCTTGTACTTCTTCTGGATTAAAACTTACATTATGACAGAAGCAGAAAGCCTCACATGCATTACTGTCAAACCAAGGGTCCCACACAGTTTAATATTTCACTTTAACATCTGTCAATAGCAGGATCCTCCCCAGAAGAAAAGTTCTGAAATACAGTACTATCATGTTAACACATTGATAGTGGGGTTTTTGCTAACTATTTTGAAATGATTACTTGCAGAGGGATTATAGTTCTTGGTTTTAACAGAAGGGCTTATTTAATAGAAGAGATGAACAGGTGCTTATTTCTGTAGGAAGTCTCCCATAGAAGAACAGCAACAAATCCTGAAAGGAAACCTAACTCGAGGGACACTAAGTGTCTTTCAGATGCACAATTGTTGCTGATTCATAGATGAGGTTCTAAAATGAGACTTCATAAAGTTTACATACAACACAGCAGGACATGAGACATCGCAGCCCCATATCACAGATGTTCCTTAGAACAAAATCCCGAGGGATCATGCAACCTAAGTGTGAAAACACTGATGTGTAACTAATGAAAGGACTCGCAGGTAAGGATGGGCTGATACAGATCAGCATAACAAGCAGACAGAATACCAGCTGCCTATCCACCCCCAAGTTTCTACAGGTTTGTTGTTTTTTTTTTTTTTCTGCTTTTTTTTTTTTTTTTTTGAAGGGGGTGGGGTCTTCAAGTGTTACAGTTGGTTATCTTTAAGGAAAAGTAACAAAGAGTAACAAGGAGACCCACAGCAGGACGAATGAGTTTTTTACACGGAATTCGGCCTGACACACATGAAAATACCATTCCTAAGAAACATCTTTTCATAGGCGGCAAACTGGCAGCGCAGACCCTCCCACCTTTGTATCCTGATACCGCACAGGAGACAATAGGTAGGACAGGGGAGACACCAGGAAAGGACACAGCAGCGAAGACAAGTATTTTTCACCAGCTGGGATGGAAACCGAAGAGCCTGGCAGACAAAGAAGGGTGTGATGCGACGAGAGCAACAACCCACTGAAGGCACCAAGAACCTCCTTCGCTCTCAGGAGGGGAGCGCGGGCTCGGGGAAGGTCTGTCATGACCGCGGGAGGCGAAAGACAAGGCGGCCGAACAAAAGATTTTAAAGGCCTGGAAAGGAAAGGTGGAGGGACGAGCAGGCGGCTCCCGGGCATGTGAAATTGCGCAGGGCAAGGGCCGGGTCTGTGTCCGGGGGAGCGGCGCCGGCTGCAGCCGCATCTCCCGGGCACGCCGCCTCCCGCCTCCCGGCAGCCCGCAGGTCGGTCCCCTCACACCGGCCAGCTCCCCAGGCCCGGGGAGCCCCGGCCAGAGACCCTTCCCTTCCCAAAACAGGCGCGGGGCAGGGCTGGCCCGGGGGGAGCCCTCAGACCCACCCCCATGGCCCCTCCCGGGCTTCCCCTCCGCTCCGGGGCGGGGGTCGGCAGGGACCCGCCGGCGAGGCAAGCCGAGGGGCGGCCGGGCTGCCGCGGCCACCTGTTCGGCGCGGTACCTGCGAGGGCCGGCGGCTCCCGCCCGCCCCGCGGGGGCACCGGCGGCCACACCGTGCGCACATGGCGCCTCCCACCCAGCCCGGACCCCGGCGGCGGCGGCGGCAGCAGCCATGCTGCCTCCCGCTGCCCGCCGCCTGTCACCCGCGCGCGCACGGCAGCCCGCGGCTGCGGAGGGCGCGGGCGGCGGCGGCGGGAGGGGAGGAGAGGGAAGGGAAGGGGAGCTCAGGAATGCCCACCTGCTCGCGGAGTTTCAGGAACACCATGGCGAGCGCGCGCCGCCGCCTCCGCCCGCCGCCAACGACTCCCGGCTCCGCGCGCCGCGCGGCCACGCCCCCCCCGCCGCCGCCGCCCGCGCGCCGGCCGCGCCCCCGGACACGCCCCCCGCGCCAGGGCCGCGCGCCCTGCCCCGGGGGGCGGGGCCTCCTCTCGCCCCGCCCACCGGCACCGCCCCGCCGCTCGCGCCCCCGAGCAGCTTCCCGAACGAACCCGCCCGCCCGCGCCACCAAGGGCCTCGCTGATTGGCCCGCGGGAGGCGGGGCAGAGTAAGGGTGGTGCTGATTGGCCCCCGGGAGGCGGGGTAAAGTAAGGGCGGCGCTTATTGGCGGGCCGGGCGCGGCGGGCCGGCGCGGGCGGGAGCGCGGGACGGGCACATGGCAGCGGGGCGGGAGCGGAGCGGGCACGGCCCGGGAGCGGCGCCGCCCTCGGGGAGCCACAGGCGCGGCTCGGCGGCCCCGAGCGAAGAGCCCCGGGACGGGGGACACCGGCACAGGCGGCTTGGCCCGAGGCGGGATGCCTCCGGCACCAAAGGCAGCTCCGAGCTGCTGATCCAGGGGAGGAGGAGGGCTGGAGGGGCATCGTGCTGGGGGTGTCAGCAGGCCACAGAAACACATAGAGAGGCGCTCGGACAAAACGCCAGACGGAACAGACGTGTACAAATAGAATACAAAAAACAGTTAACTCGAAAAAGAGAAAGATGGCTTTGCAATGTGTTTATTCAATGTTCACCTCTTTTGGCAGAGGACCAGCAGAGGTGTCATGTGCAACGCTCTGATTTGGCATTTTTACAGATAATTTACAGGCTTACTGTATGTTGTACATCAAGCACAAAGTGACATTAGGATAGGTAGGACGTAGGTGGGGCTTGAAAAACCTCTTGTGAAAGGAACGAGAAGCAGCCTACAGGACACTGAAATCAGACTGTGCTGCTCTTCCATAAAATAATCCTGCAGCCAGCCAGCTCAGCATGGTAACTATGATTGGGAAGAGTTATTTTCTCCTGAATGTTCATTTCCCCTCCAAAAAACCCCCAAAAAAACCCAGCAGACTCGAGAGACAGATTTTTTGGAATTGCATACTGCTACAGACAATGCTGCTATGAATGTTTAAAGTTTCTTGATTTTCTTGTAGCTTCAGAATAGACTGTGACTTCTTAATGCTCCACAAACAGTTAAATCTACTTAGACTTTTTGATTAACCTAAGAAAAACGAATGTTTAATAAAGCAATGAGTGTGTTCTCTGTGAACACTCATTTGTGTGGTTTTGCCCTCACTCATGTGCTTGTTATGGATTCCAGCAGGAGCCTGGCACACGGACATGTTCTTCTGGAGACTGGCAGCATGAAACAGAAGGGTTTTCTATAGATGCTAGCTGAGGCAGATATTTTAGTTAGCTTTCAATACCAGTGATCTGATGGAATGTGTTTGTTTGGGTTATTTTATTTTAACCAGTTAATAATTGTAGTCCAATTTTACCAGGCAAAGGAAAAAACAACATTGACACATTTTTTAAATGAACGTTTTTGACATCTGGATATGTCCAGAAATGCTGATTATGATAAGCAAATGTTTTAACTAATTTCAAAGAGCCCTCTAATTTATTATTTGTGTACCTATGGTTTTGGGGTTTGTTTGTTTGGGGTTTTGTTTGGGTTTTAATTTGTTTGTTTGTGAATAGAAGTATTTTGTAAATTGAAAATATGAAACCGGTAGATTTTGACACTATGCAAAACAGTTAAGGACTGTGATAACAATGTGGTAAAGAGACCAATGGTTGTGGAAATTAGAGATAATTTTATCAATGCAGTCAGTGAAGGAGAAAATGACATCAGGAAGCATTGCCTTTGTCTGTCCCCAAATTAGACTGCTCCTTTTCAAGGAGAAAAGAATGTCTGCAAGCTGATAAAAGTTCTTCTCCCTGTGAAGCTTGTGAGTTGATGGAGTTATTCAGAAAAAACATCTACTTTCAGCTCACCTGCTATTTTGAGCAATTTATGTAGACAGTTTATACTACCTGAAAATGTCTCACCCGTCTCAGGAGCACCTGGTGCAGCTCCTGGTGGAGCCAGGTCCTGATTCACTGGGGGAAGGCAAATCTTTACATTACTGGTTTCCCAGCTCCTTATTCCAGTACTCAGGATACAGCCAAGGACAGGCCTGTTGGCTGTACCATCTGCACTTACATGTGTCATCAACCAACAGATCTCTGACCACTGATCTTTGCTTTTTCCCCCCTTTGGGTTACAAGATAATATAGCATGAAAAAGTTCAAATGGTAAAATGCAGAAGTAAAAATATGGATCTTGGAGATACCTGTCTGTTTCAGTTTAAGCATGAGAGGTTGTTGAGATGGCTTGCATACATGAAGGTGGATAACACAGAAGTGGGGGATTTTCTGAGTGTTGTTTCCCTGATACCAATCAGTTGCATGTGGATATTTTTACTCAAGTCACAATATAAATTGCTGCCTTAATTCTTATTCTGAGAAAAGCAGCCCAAATGGTTATTAGAACTGAAATAAAAAATAATGAGACTATAACCAATATCAGTATTGTCTGATCTGCTAGCGTCCCGCAAAATACAGTATTTGACTGCAGAGTGACAGAAACAGAACAGAAATGAAACCTCAGAAGTTAGATGTAACAATGCTGCAAGGAAATGAGTGTTTTTAAATGTTTTGTTAAAGGGTGAGTAACTGCCCAAGTGTCCCTTAGGAACATTCACAGAGTATTTCACACAAGTCTGAGTATTGACACACAAACATGCCGAAAGCCACAGCATTTCTGATAGACGTCTGCAGAAGGTAGAAATTTCCACAACACTTTTTAATTGGACTATTTGTAAATTATTAGCAGCCCAGCTCTCCTGAGGGCACACTTTCAGCAGAGAGCCATAGGCTTTGACTGCAGAGCTCCCATTAACGTTAATATTAAATCTTCATGCTGTAACTTATCCCACAGCACGTAACACTACCCAGTGTTTTAAAGATAGGACCGTATGTGCTGCACTGAAATACATAACGGGATCAAATTGAAGAGACCACAGAAACCTCATACTGGAGATATTTTTGAGCTCATCATAAACGTCCTCTTGATTTATTTACTTTGCCAGGAATGCCTGTATACTTGGCTCTTTCTGACTGAGGGCTTCAACCCCAGTGAAGTAGGTATTCATTCTTTTTTCATTGTTCAACGTGGGTAAACAGGCACAGAGGTCAACAGGCTTACACAAGGTCATGGCATGAGTCACTGCTGTGGCTAGGAATAGAATCCAGGAGTCCTCATTGCCACTGATCTCCTCCAAACACTGCCCTGTACTCCTAAATTAAAGCAGGGCTAATTTTATTTTTGCACAGAATACAAGGTGTCCGAAATCGATAGAAATGTTATAGTTTCCTACAGAGGGATGCATTTCTCTTTATGGCCCTGAATCAGCACTTCTGGGGAGCTAGATGGAAACCACACTCATTTTATAATAGTATGCTGGAAGCATCATCATAAAGACTTTTACACATTTTGTGACAGATTTTATCCATAAAAATCTAAACCAGTCAAGGTTTTGTAGTTCTGTCCCAGAGATTGCATTTTGAATTGTTTGCTGTTCATAGCTACTGATTGCAGTGGAAACATATTAAGTATCATAATGTCTTCATCAATCAAATATCATTGATTGGCACTTCTAAAGCACCATTATGCTTATGGTAGCTCATTTGACCAATTTAATACCTGTCTGGTGCAGACAGGAGATGAGAGAACTCCTATGCCCTCCTTATTCAAGGAAAAAAATTAATATCCAGAGGAGAGTAGGGCAAATATGAGTGTCCTTTGAACAATCAGCAAGGGACAGGGGCCAGCAAAACAGCTCTAAGTTCCTATCAGTCTTGTATTCTAAGAAAAAATCGAGTAGAAGTGAGAGAAAATTGAAAATTAAGAATATATAGAATGAGGAAGCAATGGCAAGAAATGGAAAAATGTTGCAGGAAGTTTGCAAGATGTTTGGTGTGTCCTTATGTTGCCTATTTTACAGTATTACTGGTAAAAAGTACACAGTAATGCTTGTAAAAAGGGGATACAAAGGAGGCTTTTACAAAAGTAGCACTTTTATCTGGAATTGCATATTAGAAATCTTGTTCACATTTCTTCTAGTTTTAATAACATGCAACTTTTCCCCCCATAAATTAAGTTTATCTCTTCATCAGGATAGGGTCTCAAAGAGGCATAGGGAAGGTACAAAGGACCCTGGCCTCTGGGCTGACACAGAGGAGAAGTTTATCTGAAATCTTCTTATGAGTTCTTTTTTTACTGTCTCCAAACTGCCCAAGCATAGTGAAATGAAGTTGCATGCTTTTGGGAATGAGATCTTTAAAAATTCTTAGTTCTGAGTAGCTGTGAAGCTAAAATGAATATAATAAACATTAAAGAAATAAATTTTATCTTTAAAATGACCTGAGACATGGAAAGAGAAAAAAGCCATAATATATTTTTTGCTATTAGCCCACCCCAAGATGACACCTTCTCAAAACACAATGAATATCAGCACCCTTATACAGTCCCACATCAACCTACCTTGAATTATTGTTTATAGACTAGAATATTTTCTTACATATCTCTATATATAAACAAAATGGAATATTTTACTTACTTTTAATTTATTCAACAAAATACTCTGCTTTGTTTATATAAATAACCAAATGCCTCAAAATGTTTTGGGATTTTTTTAGACTCATTGTATATCAGAGTGGACAGTATTGAATAACTGGAAACTCCAGTGGGATGTGATTTGCAAATTATTTTTTCTGGCTTGGCCAGTTCTTTAAAGACTAACACCCAACATGAAGCACCCTAAGCCCAATGAGAGGGGTGAGTTTTGGTCAGTCACCTTGGCTAGCTGAAAGTTTTATGCACCACGGAAATCTTGTTGGGAAGTTTCACCTGCTACACAGGGATATTTTGTTGAAATGCATTGCACCAGTTCTGTAGCAAAGTATTAAGTGGAAGTAGTGAAAGTATTAAAATGGAAGGACTGATTTTCATGTGAGAAGCAAAAGAGAGGATTTGACTTCTGAATGAGAAATTTCTGGGCATCCAAACCCCTTACTTTCTGATGGTGGATGATGTAATTCTAATATTGCAACAAGCTGCCTGTTTAGAGAAGAGGATTTCTGCATACATAAATTTCCTCTCCTGATGAGATGAAGATCCCTTATTGACTATATTTTCTGCTTTTTGCTTCTGGACTGATTTGGTTTCAATTGTGGGAAAGTGATTCCAGTAAATAGTTTACATATTTGGCTATAAAGCACTGAAGTGGTCACCAGGGTGGGGGTAGAGGAACAAGGGAAAAGACATTTTTTCCACTAGCGAAATTCCACTGGAAATGAGACCTGTGAAAATTAGCTACATGTAACACAATATGAGCTCAGAAAAGAGGACAAGTTGGGGTTCTGCTTTCACAGGTGCCCCTTTCGCACCCAACACTCCAGAAATAGGTGCCATTAAAAAGGGAACAGTGTCTCTAAGGAAAAGTGAAGAAAAGCTTATTTTTCCAATACCACAGTTTTTGCAGTAATGGTCAACTTTCTCAGCTCTCATTCCTCTCAGACAACTATATAAACCAAAATGTAGTAGTTATACACACATATTCTTACCTCATAATAATGTGTTGCCTGATGCCATCTCACGTAAATGGCCACTGCACATCCAAATGTAGTAATGTAGCTGCATTGTCACACGCTAAGAACCTCCAAAAAAACTTTTAAGTTCATAAAATACACTTGCATGCTCCTTAATTGCTACATTCAGAGAGCATTTCACTGTCCAAACACAGTGGAAGGATGATCACTGTGCAGCCATTGTGGAAACAAGATTCTGTCATAAAGAATATCCGTCCTTAAAGCTGATTTTTTTCTTAGAAGTGCAATTTATTTTTAATACTTTGATGATGTGCGTGAGCCTACAGCCACACAGGTATGTATGTAAACTCTTCTCAGCAAAATGCTTTTATCATCTAAAGGAATAAAGTGCTTGAGGCAGAAGACAGGAATCTCTGGGAAATACACTACTGTGATGAATACATTTGTCAACCGAGTGCCACAGTGATGGATTTCAGGAAAAGATGAAAAGGTTTTTCATGACAGCAAGAAATTTGTAACTCAAAGAAGAGAAAATGAAGCAAACAGTTTGCATTTATGTTTGCATCTTAATAGACAACTTTATTCTTGTTTTCAGGATGTTGTCTTCATTCTCATGCTAAAGGATTTCATTTGTATAAAGTATTACAACAAAATGGAGTCGTATAGGTACGGGTTAGTACTGTGTCAGTTGCAGCAGTCAGAGAACCTAATATATGGATATTTTAGTCTAAGATTTTTCATTAGTATGGATTTTGGAGTTGCTTTGGACCTGACAGTTGACATGCACAAAGCAAATGCATTAAAATACCTTCAACTTTATTATTAATTAGGATTTGATAACTTGTTGCTCCTGCCCTCTCCTAGAACATATGCCACAACAAATGAAATCAGAAAGGTGTTTCAGCTCTTTGATAGCTGGGTCTGCCACTACGGCACTGGAAGCAGTGGTTTGTTTTTTGTTTTGTTTTGTTTTGTTTATTTTTTTTCTTTAGTAGGTGCAAAGATTGAGCCTTGAGCTCCAGCAAGCTGCATATGGTGTGTTTTCTGTTCAGAATCTGTACTGGTGATCTGCTCTCCCTTGTTACCTGACACAGCCTGAGTTTCTTAACTTGTAGGGCATGCTGAATAACCTGTATTTTCATTTTCTAAATAGCAAAGTATTATACTTTTCTTGGAAAAGTGGAGAGAATAACCTTCACATCAGCCAGCATTGAGATGAAGGTAATTAAAGCTCTTTTACTAAAGACATTAAGACCAAATATTCCCTCAAGTACGGACTGTAGAGTACTACATTGCCATGAGGTGAATTTGCTAAATTTAAATTTACATACACAGAAATAGCAAAATTTAACAGAAATACTGGAAAAGTTCCATGTAACATATTTGCCAATGGTTCTATACAGTCGACTGGTCTGTGCAACACAGTGTTGATTTAGGGAAAGACTTTGCATTTGCCCACATGCGCAATAGTAAGTGAACTGGAATGTCAGCATGTATTGAAAGTGTTGCACACACTGTGTAGTTATGCTTCTAAACTGCATGTTTTCCAATTCTGTAAAATAATATGAAATTTATTTATTATGTTTCTGAGAACTATGTCCTGCAGTCATACTGTGGAATTGTGTTACCATCACGGCTGGTTTTAAGTTGATTACCCTCTGAAATATGAATCGAGGATGCGAATCACTGTTAGACCTGCCCTGGATCCAAGGATAAGTAGCATCCTCCCTGCACTATAGCTCAGACACACTCACCCACACATAACTCTATGTTATACCCATATAAATATATATATTTCCTTACTGCTGTCATTTAGAGCAAACATTTGGCTGATTGTGGAAGTTTTCTTTTTATTGGTGTTATTACTATTTGCATTACTGCTCCAGCTAAGATTTCCTGCTGTTCATTTCTTTCACAAGTTTCTGTAAGCATCAAAACAACACCTTTTTAGCTGCAAAGACACCGTTTTGGTAGGAAAAAATCCGCGGTTTCTGTGGCAGAGATCACGCCCTGCAAGGCTGGGGCAGGTGGCGGTGGTGCAGGATGCGGGGAGCAGCAGAGCGGCGGCTGTGTCGGCTCCCGGCTAAACTGAGCTGTGGCCGGGGATGGGCTGAGGCCGGGGCTGGGCTGGCTTTCAGCGGACTCCCTGCCACAGGTGAATGAATCTGGCTATACTTTTAACACTTCCAGAATATAGTATGTCCATCAGAGCGTCATAGGACAAAAAGAGTCCTGAATCCACAAATCTCTGGCAGCTTTTCTCTCCAAGTTGCTCAGCCTGCATTGCACCTTCCCCAGCCACCCAGAACTGCCAGTGCCAGCCTGGCACTGCACCTGGTAAGGGCAATGGATCAGCTCCACTGCATGATCAATCTGGTGTTAGGCATTATTAATAGGTTCACTTGTAGAGACTGGCCAGAATTGTGCTTCTCTTTGTGCTGAACAAGTACAAATAAAATGTAGCTCAGAAGTTCTTTTAGTGTCTGATACCTTTGCTTCTCCCCTATGAAAAAACCCAGCACAAACTCCTTCACCTCACATCTGGTACAGACATTTACATCTTTGGAGCTGAGGTCACTGCACCACTGCCCTCCCACCATGGGAACCCAGCGATGCCCTCTGCACTGGTGTGGCCAGATCCTGCATAAAACAGGCTGTGACTGCTTAGCCCATTGTTCACAGGTACATGTAATGGCTCACAATGCAAAACAGAAGTACTGTGCAAGGCAAAGTGGTTTTGGCTGGGAATCATGTATTCATCCACCTGAAATCAATGTTTGTTTTCTTTTAGCAAGCTTTTGGACAGGTCTGCATGAGGCCAAGCAGTATGAGAACACACTGGAAGGGAGGGAAGAAGAAAGCTGACACTTAAATTATAGTAGTAAAAACTGCATATCTCAATGTAAGATACAGATCTGTGTGTATGTACGGGCAGTTCTGTATGTGCTGAGCTGCAGATTTTCACCCAGTGTAATAATTCTTGTGATTTCTCTCAGACCATCAGCAGTGCTGAGCTGGAACTGTCTCCTGATTGCCGATTTTCCAACTTTGTCAAAACACCTCAACTGCATAATAAATAATGCAAATGGACATTCTCTGATCACCCATAAACCCAAGAGGAGATATACATTATCTGAAACTTACTGGTTCATGGGAGGTTTTGATCTTCAGAAGATTTGCAAAATCAAATCAGCAGAGTGCAGAGGACAACTTACTTGGCAGGCTTTGGAGCAGGATGTGACCCCAAATGGGATGTGTGGCACACCAGCAGATCAGTGGCCCAGGACCCACCAGCACTGGGTGCCTGCAGCTCAGGGACCTCATCTGGAGCTGGCAGCAAGGAATCATGGCCAGCCCCACCACAGCAGCCTGGTAAGTTTTGGTTAAGTTATCAGGGTCAGATTCAGTTTTCTGATTCGTAAGTGTCAGATATGCTGGGTAAATAAAGAGCCACCAAGAAAAGGCTGGTTATATTTTCTGAGCAGTATGTAAATCTTCGTTTGTGGTTATATCAGTCTAGTCCATCTGAAAAGTCTAAGAAGATGTGCATTCAGTATCTCATGTACCCTAAAGGTTAAGACTGCATCAAGAATTAAAAGAAATACTACCTTTCTTATTTTTAAAGACCTTAAGACTTTTGCCAGCCCAACTCAGGATTTCTGAATGCTTGGGGCTGGCACTACCATCATTTCCATTATCACACAATCCCTTTTCCAGCTCCCCTGAACCAGATTGGCGCTCTTCTATTTCAGGAAACACTAGGGTGGACAAAGTGAGCTAATAGCATGCCCCTTACTCTTTCCTAGTCTTCAGAAGAGGAGTTTTGCAGTGAGGCTCTGGTTTCACAGGAGCTGCTGCAAGCAGCTGGGGATGTGAACATCCCTGGATGCACTGCCAAGAACCTGCTTCTGCCAGCTGGGCAGGGAGGCTGAAAAATAACTTTTTTCTTTCTATTTTTTTTTTTTTCCTGCATGATCTCTAACTAAGACCTGTCCACTAAGCCAGCTCATTGCACAGTCATAGAAATAATCTTTCTAAGCATGGCCACGGACAACACAGGCCTGGGAGAGAGGGGTGGGAGTCATGGGACTGCTTCCACTGGCTCTGCCAAATGCATGTGTGAAAGCACATCCTACTAGAAGGCTGGGTTGTGTCTGGGCATTCACAGCTTGACCTAGGGCCCTTTGTTCCTTGTTAAATGTGATTTCTAATGACTATCCTAGATAGAAACTGTAATTTTTTTTCCTGCTGAAACCATGTAAAGAAGCTGTGGGATAGGTGATAACTGTTCCCATCAAAACAGACACTTCTGTGCAGGACACAACAGATTTTCTTTGAAATGTACAAGAAAGTGATATTAATCATCTTATTAATTCCATATGTACATATGTATCTGGTTTCTCATTTGTGATCCATGGCTATCCTGTTTCTGTTGAACTCATTGGTTCAAAATATCAGGCTTAAAAAACTCTGGAGAGCAAACAGGGAATCCTCACTGTCCCTTCTGTAATGTAAACCTAGATCTTTGTTCCTTTATTCTAAAAGCAAAAAAAAAAAAAAAAAAAAATTAAAAATAAATGTAAATACTTATATCAGTTTAATTTAAAAATAACAGAATTGATCTATTTGTATTGCCAGTGACATATTTAGTGCTGTTTTTAAATACCCTTATTAAATCTAATCATCCTTCCCAAAATATATTTGCATTTAACAGTGTTTTACAGCACCCCACAGCTTACTCTCTATGATATATCAAAATAAATATGTGATGTTTTCTTTGCTGTCTCCCACAGTGGTCTAAGTAAGAAAATGGAGAAAACAAGTTTCTTCTCTGTGTCAAAGACAGTTTAAGGGCACCTGTGGTCTGTGATTATATTTAACATTTACACTCAGTGTTCTAATCCCGTTTGGGTTTAGCAAAAAACACAAACCCATTAATTTGAAAACATAGTATTCAAACCATTTAATTGCATGGTCAAGGTATGGGAGGGGGGAAATTAACTTGGGATGGTAAGAGACACAGGACTATCTAAAAGACTACTGGCTCTCCATTACTAACATATCTCTCTTCATTTGCAGCACATGACAAATCTAGATGGGATCCTGTAGCCACTATGCCCCAAGACTAGAGGACAGATCCCTGAAAATCTTGGATAATTGAATGGCAGGGACCTGGTGTTGGAGACCTTTCCCCAGAAAGATGTCACAGCTGCCCTCCAGAATGAGAACCTGGGTTCCTACCTGTGAAAGCAAAAGTCAGTGCTGGATTAGCTTCTATCCTTGTAAACTCCTTAGTAGGTTGTCAGTGTCCCTACCTGAGCATGGGAGCTGGCAGCCATCAGGTCTCACAGGTTGTGCACAGCTGCAGGTACACATACTGTAACATGAGCAGAAACATAATTTATCATAATTTCACTATTCCTTATTGCATAATACATGTATTCTTATGATGTTAAATCTACATAGCCCATATATAAGGATATATAATGTATATATATACAAATGGAAATATAGGCTTAAAAAATGTGTTATATTTATCTAACAGCTGAAATGGTTTCCAAAAAAATTAGTACAAGTCAGGTTTGTCAACCCTCTTAAGTATCCTTGCACCAGCCTTCCAGTGCAAAATCACCCTGGAGGAGTACACCCACTTTCTGGCACATCCAGGGTAAAAAAAGAAAAATAAGGAAGTGTGGAATCCTGACGACTTTATGTTGCAGTGCAAGACTGGCTGGAGTAAGAGCTGTAAGTAGCTGGGACATCCTTGAAACTTGAGCAATATCCAAGTACAGGTTGGAGCTCTCAGCAGGTGTTGCCATAGTCAGAATTTTTTTGGCTTTTCTAGTCTGTTTCCTCAAAGCTGGGGACAAGGAAGTGCATGATGTTGTACCCTCCTTGCTGATTTTGCCCTGCTGGCTGTGCAGTTGCATTTGGGCATTTGTTTCAAAAAGGAAAAGAAAAAACTCTGAGCATGACTGCTGCTGGCAGAAACACGTACTTCGTAGAGTGCTGCTACACCTTATTTTCTAAATCACAAAGTCAGTGACTACATTTTGCATGCAAGTAATAGAAAACATTGAAGTTCAGTTTCTGGGGAAAGAACAAACCTATTAGGTGATCAAGGGAAGCTATAACAGAGAACTGATCAAGATAAATCTAAAAGAACAATGTAAATCCATTAAGCTGGTAATTGCCCATGTGTGACAAATTTCTTTTAGTTACCACACTTTTCTTGCAGTAATACTGACACAACACTATAAAATTTAGGGCTCTTTTTCATGTCTGCACCATCCCAGTGGGATCTCCAGCTGAAATTCTGCTCCAAGGAATACAGCACATAATCAGTCCCTTTGAAACTGCTTCAGTAATGCTGAATCCATATAAGTGCAGATGCCAATTATGCTAATGAAACTGCAATGGGCCCGTGGTTCTTGCCATCCTCTAACAGTGCTGTAAAACTACTGTCAAACTCAGCAGCTAAATTTTTGCAGCATATGACCACATAGAATACTGAAATTTGCTGCATGGTGGAGTTTATGCCACATGTTCCCCAAACCTAATCCTGCTAAGAACACAAAGAAAGCAAGAGGTAACTGTAGAAAGTCTGGGATTTTTTTTTGTTGTTGTTGTTGTTTGGTTTTGTTGTTGTTGTTTTTTTTTTGTTACCTTTTCTCCTTGTCCTGTATTCACATCTCCAGAAGGTGCAAGGCTAATGCAAATAATATTTATATTGCCCTCCTTTCTTTCCCTGTCAACCTCTAAGGCAATGCTCCATCCTGAGGAGCAGGCACTGGGAAACACAGTGGGCTAGCAAAAATGTCAAAGTGCCCCTGAGAAAACCCAAGAGAGATCCTTAACATCTTTTCTCCACTTGTTCTTTTGGGCTGATAGGATCTCTGACAGAAATACTCACTGATGCCTTGGCAGGGCATTTCTTTGGGCTCAGGCAGGACCCGTCACATGTGGTTTCTCTTTTCCTCTGCTGTGTTTTCTCACAGAGGCCTACTGTGGCAAAGATAACTCTTCTTCTCAGGCAACAAGTTCAAAGTCTACATGTTAAAATGTCTACATCCCCTCCCCTTTGTCTTTACAGTCTGGCAATGTTATAATCATCTCTGCAATACAGCACAGGCCAAGGTACCAATCAGCCTGTGTGAACAACAGCATTAAGGCCACTATAAAATCCCTCTGAGGACACTTTTAGGGTGTGGTGGGAGTAGTTAATACAGATCATGAGAAGACACAGACAGGAATATGGATTCATCAGGAGTAATAGCTTTCACACATGACTAGTCAGGATAAAAGAAATGGCAATACAAGGCTGAACAGTCTACATTATTAGGCTATTACTTCTTGCATCAGTGGAAACTCCTGCCTTACTATTTTTTTCCCCGCATTAAATCCTATCACCACCATTATGGTTCCAGCACTGCTGTGTTTCAACAGCGCTTCATCCCTTCTTCATGCACACTTATTACAAATACTACAGTCTCAGGGAAACAGTTTTGAAATCATTGTTGCTGCAAGTGCATCTGACTTCAATTCCATCATCACACGGTGGACTATGACAATTGCAGTCCACGGTATTTTTATAAAAGCAGTGAAAACCTCAAATGTTAACCTTTTGCTTAGTTTATTGTTTATAAAACAATAATATGCTGTCATGTTCTCCCATCTTCTCATCTGCAATTGAAGGGACATCCACTAATGACTCTAATTCCATGATGGGTGAGGGGTGCTTAGAATTACTGTTGTAGTTAGTGGCTGGCAGCTTTTCTGGGGATAGACTTCGTTCCTTGGTGTGCCTGCAAATCCATGCTAATGTTCCTCCCTAACTTCCCAGGGCACTGGTTGAAGAGCAAAGGCAGCCTATGGTGGGGATGTCCTTCAGCTCACAGGAGTCACCTACTCTGCCCCTGCTCCACAGGCAGCAGAGGAGTTCATGAAGCAGTTCCTAAACCATTTGCAGCCTGTCATTTGAAAATGAAGTTTCACAGGTCCCAAAATGAGGCAGAAATACTAATCTTCTCATGTTTCCTAACACTTACTGTGCCTTTCCTTGAGTCAGAGCCCAGAGATGTGCTATGATACTTGATCTTTAGGCTGCGCAGATGTAACACAAAGTAACAAAGTAATTTCCAAAATTAAGTCTCCTGACACTGACTTAGTGCTGACAATGCTCAGATAACGAATATTTCTTTTTCTCCAAGGAAAATTATGAAAATATTAAACATAGTTGTTATTTGCTTAACTGGTTCTATATTATTTTGACTTCTTCTCTGTACTCTAGAAAAAGAGGAGCAAGGACATGACACACCGACATAACAAGGCACACCCTTCTCTCTGCATTTCACTGTTGGCTTCAGCATCCCATCCTCAGCTCTGAGCTGGCATTAGATATTATAAGAGCAGTTGCAGCCTAGGCTTGGGGAGCAGGCTAAGCAGCAACAGCTAAGAAGTGTTACATTGCTCGTGTGTTTGTGAGGATCATCTGGTTCCTGTCTGTGGTCTGAACTGCTCGTTAGAAGCATTCATATATACACACACACATGCACACACACACACACACAGCGGGATAAAATGCCCTCAGGAAAAACTCATACTTACACCTCACACCTGGATTTGCAAAGCTACACATAATGAGTGCAGAAGTATACACTCAACAGTTCTGTGGCATTTGCCCACACTTTATGCTCCTTGAAAGGGCTTGAGTATTGATTTCATCATTCCTTCCTTGCTACTCTCTGCTGCCACCACGTGTTAACCACAATTTTTTGGGTTTTTTTGTTTGTTTGTTTGTTTTCTTTTTTTTCTGAAATAATACTGCCCCTTAAAATAGAAACACGTGTTCTGCCGTGGGTGAGAAGGACCTGGAATTTGGCAGTACTCAAGAGAAAAAATGTGAAATGGGCAAGCCATTCCTTGGCAGACTGGACATTGCTGGAAACAGTATAACAAGCTTCAAAAGAGCCCCCTATAAGCAAAACTTCAAATTCTGAATTGAGGATTAATGCTATTTATTACCAGTACAGTTTATGGATGTGTGTCAGGAAATGCCAGGCTAGTGTTCGTAAGTTCAAGTTCGTGCACTGACAGTTTCTCTCTCTCCCCACTATGCCTTCCTCTTGCACTCGGATTTCTTGTCATGCTTTCTGAGGATGAAAAATGCATTAATAATGAAGGAAAGTGGAATGCAGTCAGGAAAGCACTTTATTCCTAATTCCCATGATCTGGTAGTGTGCCTGTTCCCTTAGGAATGAAAGGCAGTCTTCCAGTTTGGGCTTAATAAGGGTAATTGTGGATATTTTTGCTGTTGGTACAAATTACTAATTAAATCATTATTAACATTTGCCATGTCTCCATCATACAAAATATGGGTAAGTTTTAACCATGTCATTACACACTACTAAAAATGAATGTGGCTCAGAGCTAAGAGGACAGCAAATTTCTACAAGCTGAACTCCCCCCAGTGTGGCTTGGTTCTTGGCTAAATTTATTTCATCTTAAATAACTCATGAAGGATGACATTTAAGTGACAATCTGTTGATAGCTAATCACAAGCCTACAGTGTATCATTTCAATGGAATGTCTTGATGTGCAAGTTAAGGTTAGTGTAACAATTTGCTGGTTTATGGTCTTGTTGAGGGAAACGAAGCATATGCAAGGCTTAGCTGTTCTCTCTTCCCTCTGTCTGGCAAGGTCTGAAAGCACATGCCTAGGTATAGATGCAGTGTTCCCAGTTCTCACATTGGTTAATGTGTTACCAGCACATAGTCCCGGGCCAAGGAATGATTTCAGAATATCAGTTTGCATTTAAAACATAAATTCAAGCTTGGTTTCCAGATTTTGTGACTGAGAGATAATGGATGGTTAATCCTAGCTCCAAGGCAAGAATGACACTGAAGATGAAGATGTTACAGTGTAGCCACTCATGTTTCTGAGAGACTGTTTATGCATATGAAAGCTTGTCTTAAGTCGGTGGTCCTCCACCTCCACAGGTGTCCTTGCAGTTGTTTGTCACACCTTGCTGGATCAGCATGCTGGGGAAGGATAGGGAACTAATGCTCAGCAAGGATCAAGGAGAGGAAATGGGAGACACTGATACAAAGGTCTCATTTTACTGTTGACAAATTGTAGCCTAATTAGGATTTACTTCTGCTTTTGCACATAATTTAATTCCAGTGCCTATAAGGAGTTTTTGAGGAAACAAAACCAAGGTTTTCATGGTGGTGCGTGGCAAGGGCATGTGAAAAAACAGGTGTAGCTTGAAAGAGGAGATGCTCTGACTGGATATAAAGAAACATCATGAGGCAAATTGAGCATGGGAAAGCATTGCCCAGTGAGGTTGTACAGTCTGTGTCATTGGAAGTTTTAAAG